GCAGCCGATCAATGACTCTGTCATCATTGACGTTTCTATCTCTCTCTCTCCCTCTCCTTTCCTCTCTCTGAAATCAATAAAGATATATTAAAAAAAAAGAAACACATCTTTAAAAAAAAATAAAAAATTATATATATATATATATAAATACATATAATATCACTGTCTAGGAACAACTTAGATCCAAAGAAACATGTAGATCCCAAAAGGGAGGCACTAGGAAGGCATATATCAGCATTCTCCCACATGGTGCAGAATTCCCACAGTGACAGGTCTGTGTAAATCAGCTCCAGGAGCATGTCCCCACTTGTGCTGGAGTTGCCACCTTTTGACAGGAAGAGCAAAACTGGGAGAGCCAGGATGGTTCCACCTCTGACTGCTGGGGCCACGTCACCTGCAGTGCTAATGCCTGCTTTACTCTCCCTCTGCTTCCTCCTATCACCTTAGAAATACTCTATTTAATTGGAAATATCTCTTATTTCTTGATATATCAGTTTCTTTATCCTTAATGATTTATTTTGATCTTAACCAAAAAGGGAAAAAATTTTCAGAATTATTAATATAATTGATTGATAGTTACAATATAGTCAGGAGGATGTAAAGTACAGCAAAGGAAATATAGTCAGTAATGTAATAACTATGTATGGTCCCAGTTGGGTACTGGAAATATCAGGGGGATCACTTTGTAAAGTATATGATTGTCTAACCATTATACTGTACACCTGAAACTAATACAAAATAAATTGAATGTAAAGTGTAGTTGAAAAAATTTTTTTTAATAAAACAAGAAAAAGTGTATTATTCACAGATATTTTCCTGGATAATTCAGTTTTACAAATAATCTAGAATCCATGCTTGATTCTTTCTACTCATTTGCAGTACTGTATCGCTCCTGGCCACCCAATTCTCTCCCACTTTGCAAGACCTGGAGCATCTCACTTATGCTTTCTTTGTTTATGATTTCTGTCCAATAAAATAGATTTACAGTTTGTAAATCAAATCCCATGGTCTTTGTTTTCTGGCTGGTTCATGATTTCAGCTTATTTGGAAACAAAGTGTTTTTTAGCTTTCAGGTCACTTTGGTGTAATATAAATGACCATCTTGATTTCTGAACTTTGGAGATGTGTATTAATGGAATCTTCTGTATCCATAGGGTGTGGAATTCTTTGATGAAAAGCTGAATGCTTTATGTATGGCCTGGCTTGTGGACCACGGTAAGTAGATAACTTAAAAACAGGTTGTTATGGAGTGCTCATGTTTTTGCATATATCCCATTTTATTTCTGTTTTCTAATTTTTTTTCTGTCTTAAACTTTATTTTTTCCATGAACAATCTCTCTGCCCTGTTTCTTATTCTTTTACATTATTTTCAGACTATCTCTTTCATACATGTACTCACTTCTTTCTTAAGGTCTTCTGCTTGACCATGCTGTCTGGGTTGGACAGGGATTGGAATCAGATGAAAGGCCTACGGGGAAGAAGTGGCTACTTGGCTTCTTTGAGTGACACAGAGAAGGAGATATACAGTGACACAGTGAAGGAGTCCATGAGTGGGAGATGTCAGCTGAGGGCCCAGATTTCTGGTTTTGGTGAAAGTGAAGCTTACTACCTGCACCCTTGGCTGCCGCTGCCACAATGCTGAGAGAGGGTGAGCTGTGAGCTCAGGGCAAGGGCAGATGGGACAGCATTTAGAAAATGGGTTTTTCAGTATTTTAATTTCTCTTTACATTTATAACATAATTCACACAGAATCCTCTTCTTTGAATGCCACAAACTGTTAAAAATGAAAATTGGTACTGCTGCTTATCAAATATACAAGACTATTGATGTTATATCTAAAACCATTTTATATGTTAGTTAGCAGTTGACTTTTTGACAAAGTCTCAGGTGCATGTGTCTACTCTTGTGTGCCAGGAAATGGTGGGTGGAAAGGGTGCCCTTCGTATCAGCCAGGCCCCAGGTCCAGACCCTGGCATCTTCAATATGCTTGAGACCTGTTCAAATGGAGGCCATGGATCATAATCCTGTGAGCTTCGGTTCCATATTTTGGTGGATACTGTAGGCATTCTGTGTTAGTTTCACAGCATCTTACGTATGTACTGAGTGTGTATCTGTTCTGCGGCTGCTTGTGCATGGATACTTGGGAGGAGTGGGAATATTCGTGTCTGTTTGGACATGTAGGTGGTATTGTTAAGGGTGTATTTGGATCATATGGGAGGTCGTATGGTTAAGAGTGAAGAGGAAGGGTATGAGTAAAATGTGCAGCCTCATAAAGGCTTATGTGTATAGATAATTTCAGTGTTTATAAACTAGATTGTGAGGACTGTTTCTTTTTTCTTCTTTAAAGTTAGCTTTTTTTTATGGTCTAATTTTTTTTCTGTTTAAGTGAAACTTAAGTATGGTGAATCACAGGAAAGAAATTCCTCTCTTCTTAGAAAAAAAGGTGTTTATGTTATATATGTAACGCATATTTAATGTTAGTGAGAACGACATGTTCCAGATCTATACTTTCTTTGAAAGCTGATCCTCTAGATTTATTTTGAGAAACTTTCAAAGTCCTAATGTTCCACAAAGAATTAATTTCCCGACACTCTTTCTATGTAGGATTGTTCTGTGTAAGTTAATTACTCCTCCTTTTTTGAAAAATTTTTTATAACTCATCATTTGTACACAGCATTGTGTATTCACCACCCCAAGTCAAACATCCATCACCATTTATCCGCCCTGTACCCTCCTCCCCCTCCCCCTGGCAATCACCACACTGTTGTCTGTGTCATGAATTTTTTTTTCTTATTTTTCACTCAATCCCCTCCCCTTAGCACCCCCTAGCTGTCAGCCTGCCTTCTGTATATGAGTCTGTCTCCCCTCCTCCTAGCACCCCCCCAGCTGTCAGTCTGCCCTCTGTATATGAGTCTGTCTCCCCTCCCCTTAGCACCCCTCCAAGCTGTCAGCCTGCCCTCTGTATATGAGTCTGTCTCTGTTTTGCTTGGTAGTTCATTTTGTTCATTAGATTCCACGTACTTTCTCTGACTGGCTTATTTCACTGAGCATAATGCTCTCTAGATCTATCCATGCTGTCACAAAGGGTAAGATTTCCTTTTTTTTTAAAAAGTATCTTTATTGATTTCAGAGAGAGGAAAGGGGAGGGAGAGAGGGATAGAAACATCAGTGATGAGTCGTTGATCGAGCTCGCAACCTGGGCATGTGCCCTGACTGGGAATCGAACCCTGATTGCCTGGATCCCAGGTTGACGCTCAACTGCTGAGCCACGCCTGGCCGGGCCGATTTCCTTTTTTTTTAAGGCCAGGTAGTATTCCATTGTGTAAATGTATCACAGCTGGGCTGCTTCCAGATCTTGGCTATTGTAAATAACGCTGCTATGAATATACGGGTGCATATATTCTTTCTGATTGGTGTTTCAAGTTTCTTCAGATAAATTCCCAGAAGTGGAATCGCTGGGTCATAAGGCAGTTCCATTTTTAATTAAAAAAAATATATATTTCTTTATTGATTTCAGAGAGAGGAAGGAAGAGTAGGAGAAATAAACATCAGTGATGAGAGAGTCATTGATCGGCTGCCTCCTGCACACCGCCTGCTGGGGATCAAGCTCACAACCCGGGCATGTGCCCTGACCGGGAATCAAACCACGATCTCCTGGATCCTAGCAGCCACGCTGGCCGGGCCCATTTTTAATTTTTTTAGTAACTTCATATTGCTTTCCACAGGGGCTGCACCAATCTGCATTCCCACCAGTAGTGCACAAGAATTCCCTTTCTCCACACCCTCGCCAACATTTGTTTGTTGATTTATTGACGACAGCCATCCTGACAGGTGTGAGGTGCTATCTCATTGTGGTGGGTTTTTTTTTTTAATCCTCACCTGAAGATATTTTTTCCATTGCTTTTCAGAGAGAGTGGAAGGGGGAGAGAGAGAGGGAGAAACATCCATCAGTTGCCTCCCATATGTTCCCTGACTGAGGACTGAACCCGCAATATGGGTGTGTGCCCTGACCGGGAATCAAACCCACTACCTTTTGGCATTCAACCAACTGAGGCACCCGGCCAGGGCTTGTAGGTAATTATTAAATGTTAAGAAAGGTACATTTATTCACAGAAAACATTTAACATTTCATAGCATAAACATTTTTAAAGGAAAACAGGCAAGATAGTCTGAAGTTTTTATTTGCTATTGTGTAGATGACCACAGTGGCCTCTAAACTAACTCCTCACTGTCTTTCTCCCTCAGCTGTTCTTGCTGCTGCTGGAATAATCTTGCTAAAATACTACACTGGTCACTGGGTGACAACTTTGCTTTAACAACCCATCTTTTTTTCTCTTAATCTCTAAATGTAGCTTTCAAGATGTTCTGTGTTTTCCCAGATTTCAGTTCTTTCGTTTGTGCCCTGGGTAAATTTTTTTACCCTTTCCAGGAATTACTATCTTCTTCTCTCTAGTCAGACAAATCCTCTAATCTTTGAGGCCCAGTACAAGGCCTCTCTTTCCCAAAGCCATTTTGTTCTCTCAACTCCTACAGCCCTCAGTCTTTACCACACAATTTCATACTTTATTATAATCAGCCTTATACATGGACTTCTTGGGGTGTGTTAGCTTTCATTTCTCTGAGTATATGATCTTGAGGGAAAGTGTGTATTTTTCCTGTAACACGTAGCACATAGTAGGCAGTCATGTTTGTTAATTAATGATGCCTATAATGAGCTCCTTATCTTCTTTTTCCTTGGACATATTACACATTTTGAAACTTTAGTGAGACCAAGTCAGTGTATTATGAGTTGTAGCTGAGTACATTTGCCATAGCAGCATGGCTAACTTTGGAGTGTGTTTGCAGAATCTTGTTTTTGGTCCACCTTTGATGATGGTGTAAGTAAACTAGGTTGTGCTTATACTCTGAGCAGTGTGATAGTGTGTTCTTCCCTCTCCTGCAGTGTATGCCATTCGTGAAGCTGCTACCAACAACCTCATGAAACTAGTTCAGAAGTTTGGTACAGAGTGGGCCCAAAATACCATCGTTCCCAAAGTGTTAGTAATGGCAAACGATCCTAATTATTTGCATAGAATGACCACTTTATTCTGCATTAATGTAAGTATCACACAGCCATTATTGCTAAGCTCAGGTATTAAGCAGTTACTCAAGACTGTGTGTCTGAATTCTGAATATATTGTTTTTTATTTGGAATATATTGCTTATACTGATATATTTGGGTAGTTAAGAGATGAGAGAAAATGTCAGTTTTTCAATTCATGTTAAAATCTACAGTAGTGAAGTCAGTTGTGAAGTCTGGTCTAATTCTGGGGCGTTTTGAATGCTACTTTGTGTCCCTCATTTAGTGCTCAAACTAGAAACATTTTCCTGTTGGTCAGGTACTTTCTTATAAAGTATTAATTTATCTATCTAGGTTTTGGGATATTTTAAAAATGAAAGTGTTTTAAATGTGCCATCTTATTTATTTTTCTAGGTACTGTCTGAAGCCTGTGGTCAGGAAATAACCACTAAGCAGATGCTGCCCATTGTATTGAAAATGGCAGGAGACCAAGTGGCGAACGTCCGTTTCAATGTGGCCAAATCTCTACAGAAAATTGGACCAATTCTAGATACCGAGTAAGATTTTAATATTATTCTTACCCTTACTTTAAAAGATTAAAATTTTTACTTTCTAATGGGGAGTAATAGCTAAAAATAAATGTAGTGATTTTCGCTTTACCTAAGGTGTGGGGTTGTGTAAAGAAAATGATAAAGTAACCGTTTTTGCAGGTGTCCATTCTTTTTTATTTAAACTCGTATATGTATAGATCATTGTCTGAAGCTATTTCTGCTCAGAACTTTGGACATTATTTCGTACTTGTCAAACTTCTAGGTGTTTTAAAATATTTTTTTATTTAACTTTAAAAATTACCTGAGAGCATATATACCATAAAGTATTTTTCTGACCCAGAAGACTGCCTTTCACAGATAACACTGTTGGATTTCAGTGCTTTGCAGGAGGAAGTTAAGCCGGTACTGCAGAAGTTAGGCCAAGATGAAGACATGGATGTCAAGTACTTCGCACAGGAAGCTATAAGTGGTATGTCCTTCTGTTGTCTGCCTTGCAGCTTTTGCTTTGGTTGACAGGGTGTGAGTGACGTTAAGTGGGCAAGGCGATAAGCATATGGGAGACAGGGAGGGTGTTGAGCGCCTGGAATGCTTGTGCCCCCTTCTTGGCCACCACTGAGCAGGCCGTTTCTCAGTTCCATGTCTAGGGCTGGGTAGGAATGTTATTCTTACTGTAAGAATAGTTTTTTGTTTGGATTTTAATCAGTTTTTAAAGTTTGACTTTGATTAGCCTGACAGAGTAGAGAAACTGAACGCAATGAGAAGTTCAGTCTCCTGCTTTTGGATCACTGTTGTCGTGCTCAGTAGTCACATAGATCATGAACTTTCTGTGCCACTAACTTGATTCTGTTTGGAATTTTCCAGTGCTTGCGTTGGCATGATGAGGAACAGGAGGGAAAAGACTTTACTAAATTCTTATCACAGATTTCTAGTCAATGTATTCTTAAACTGGGTGGAGAAAAAATGGAAAACCTTCAAGACCTCATCCAAGCAAATGGCAACAACTTCCAAGAAATCAAATTTCAGTGACTTGATTCTTTCTAAAGATGAAATGGGATTGTCTTTACTTGTCTTCCTTGTTGGGATAATTATAAACCATTCTTTTTGTTTGTGACCAGTTCCTGACACTTGGTACAGTCATTTCTTGATTGTCTCCAGGGATTTATTCGGCACCATCTGGGCTCCTGCACCCTCGCTGCTCCATCAGGCCCCTGGCCACTTACTATCCTGACCAAGCCTGGATGGGTTGGGACCCAGACATGCAGTGGAGTGATTCTCTTGGTGTCTACTTATATCTCTGTGTCTCTCCAGCATTCCAAAGTTAAATGTACATGGTTTGGAATAACTTATTTTATAAAACCTCTGTTTGGGAGACACATTGAGATTTAACTAGTGAAAGCCACGTTTTCCTGGATAATGATGGTTTGCATCAGTGTCTTACATGAAAGGGGAATGTGGAAGCTCACAGTTCGTGTGCTGTTTGTTCTGGTTTTTATTTGCTTGATTTTGACTGTAATCATGCCACTCAGAAACCTGACATGCAGATGTATTGCTGCTAATGTGTGATGTTAAAACCTAACAATTTCCATGGCTTATACCACTGTTACTGCATTAAAAAATACTTTCTCTTTCTCTCTCTCTCTCTCCTTGCTGAGAAACTTAAAATTTAGTGCCTCCTAAAAAGCAGTAGTTCTACTGTGTCATTGTAAGATTGCAGTTTTGTAATTCTAATGAGAAAAGGAACCACTGGTATAGTACTGTGATGATTTCCTGCTCTTAACCTCATTCTGCTTCCAGCTGTGTTAACATCTGGTCCTTGCTACGTTGTGCAGTAATGGCTTTCCAAACTGAAGTTTCATTACTACTTTTTTGGTATGGGTGATGCTGGAATCATCATTTGAAAACTTTTTCTGCTTTTACAGTAAAACCTCATTAATTCTCCTGGAACTTAAGATAATGAGTTAAGATGAAGGAAGAGTTTCCTGGAACAAATTAATAGTTTGTAAGGAAGCCTGTAGGGTCTGACCTACTTAAACTATTTTAAAGCTCTCTTTAAAAAGCACCCTTTTACCAGTTGGTACGCCAATTACTAATCACTCTTTTTCAATTACATTAAAATGCTTTTCATGAGGATTTTTATGAGGCCACACTTTTTTTAGATATATTCATTTAGATTTTATCCCTGAAATATATACATTTTTATTTCATGGGTAATTTAAATATTTTTCCATTTAAAATAATTTACATTGTCACCTATTCAAACTTGCCTTGTCCCTAATGAATTTTAATTAATGAAGTTTTATTGTAGCTTATTTTTCTCAGTGCATCTTGCTATGTAGTTTGCTTGTTTCCATTTTGGTTTTGGAATTATTTTATTCACAACCTCTTTTAAACCCAGTGAGCCCTATTCTGTATTTTGAAAACCAAGTTTGAGCAAATTACTTCCAAGTTTGTCTTACCGTAGAAAAAAAGAACATTTTTAATAAAAAATTGCCTGTCTTTAAAATTGTCAAATTACCTTTCAGTAACTTTCTATTTTATTACTTTTTGGGCTAAGAATTAAATATTTTCCTAAGCAAAATTCTTTTATACATTTTCATTTTATATCTTAAGCCATTATGCTATAAACATTTTAATTTTAGTTTCATGGTTCTTTTTATTTTTTATTACCAGTAGGTTATGTTCCCCTTATTGAATTTCATTTTTCAGAGGCTGTTGTCTTCATTCTTGAAACAAATTTGTATAACCGTTGCTTTACTCTTTGGTTGGAAGTACCGTGGGTCTTGGGATAGACTTTTAAATGCCCTGCGTGCCCCCTGGGAGTCCTGTGCATTTACCTTCTGCCCTAGAACTGTGGCAAAGGGAGCCCTTTGTTTTTTCAGACATGGGTCAGGGAGCTCAGCAGGGCCCTGCCGTTTTGGATGACTTCTTAGGGACTTCATTGCTTCTTTCTGACTTAAACAGAGAATCCCTTTTGTTACTGCTCAGAGAAGTTGTTTTTTGGCTCATAACTTGGTCATTTTCTCCACAGGTTATCTTGATTTCACTAGAATGTAAGCTCCAAGAGCTCAGTAAAGGCAGGGATTTTTGTCTGTTTTGTATTCTGCTGTATCACCAGTGCCTAGATCAGTGTCTGGTTGTACATAGTAGGTGCTCAATAAAAATGTGTTCAATGAATTTCTAAAATCTGTCCTCTGATGTGTTGCGCTCATGGAACAAGTTATCAAAGGTACTAGACTGCATCTCATTCTCCCACTGACAAAATGAAAGGATGTTACTGCTTTTAAGAAGTAAACTTTATGTGACCCTTCTCCAGTCCCCTATCTTAGGCAACAGTTCCCTTTGGATTGATGCAGTTGCCTCCAACATAGATTACTGTAGTTTTTTCACCCCAGGCAGTTCGTATCAGCTGTTTGGTCAATGAAGAAAGGGAAGCAGAGACACACACAAACCTGTGTCGATAAAAATGTCTCCTCAACAATGGAATTCACCTACTGTTTCTTTACAGTTTGTGTGGGGTTTACTCCTACAGATTTGAGAGACCAGATCTTATTTCTCTGCTACCAACAGGGTATGAGCCTGATGCATCCTGGCTCATAAGAATAAACAGGTTGATGTGTGGTTTCCAATGAGGCCTTGTTGAAATAATGGCCCTCAGCTCATGGAAATACCACAGCTGGACTGCTGTGATGCATGGCCTGGGGGTCTGCTGGAACGCAGTCTGAGCTGTCATCAGCGTTGAGGATAGTGCTTAAGACCTCGGGGAGAGATGGGGCCCTGGACCCAGTGGTTAGCTGTGGGGGTGCTCACCTGGCAACTGTAGAGATCGCTGTGTTGGTGCTTTTCTGTGGAAGTCACATGGCGCCATCCCCACAGATGGGGCAGTGTGGCCACAACAAGTTGGGTGCTTGCCCTGCCCTTCTGCCTTCAATTCTGCTGACATTTTTTTTTCTCATTTTGATACTCTTATCTTAAAGCCTCTTGTTTCTCTGCTGCTTGCATGTGACAGTGGTGGGAGGAGCTGTCTTGTCTCCTTGGTTTAACAGATGAAGGGACTGCTGTCTGGTCTTAAGTAATTGTTTCCCCCTGATTCTGCTCCTGCTTCCAGGCAGTTCCTTGCTCCTCTCTTTCCTGTTCACTCACGAGTCTCCAGTCCTTTTTCTGTACTAGAATAGTCCCTCTATCCCCCACAGGAACCTGCTGTGCCCAGGAAATGACATAATGTTCAGTTGAGATGGGAAGGTGGAAGATGGAGGGAGGGAGCTTAGTTCCTCATTGGGTAGGAAAGCCGAGTCATTTCTTCCTCCAGAGCTGCTGTTCTAACCGATGCTCCGGTCCCGCATGGAGCCAGCTCTTGTCTGGCTGGGGCTCTAGGCCATCAGTGACTAAGACGTGGGGAGCTTCCTGCTGGCTGCTACCATAAGGCGCTTTCCATGGCTCTGGAGGACATGCACCTTCAGTGAGGTCCTGGGGTCAGCCCACTGCCTCTGCACAGGGACACATGTGCCTCCCCACTGCCAGTGCCGGAACCGCGGAGGGCATCCTGGCTGGGGAGCACCGGGCGTGAGAGGGCGCATCGCGCAGGGGCAGTTACAGTGCTGCTGTCTGTCTCTAGTGGTGGCCCACAGGCTGAGGAAGCTAGATTTTCCCGTGAAGGACAGTGGAGAGCCCTGCGCCCCTGGGGCTGACAAGAACCGCTTCCTGAGACCCAGAGGGCCTAGAGAGGACACCAGAAAGGTAAGCGGATGGCCATCCTGGGTCTGAGCACTCCCTCCCATGGATGGACTTGGGTGAGGGCGGAAGGCAGCCAGCTGGGCTGCTGCTACAGCGGGCGGGCAGAGAAGCAGCGCCTTCCGCTGTCCCGAAGGAAAGCGAAGTGTTTAAGGCCAAGAGGGGATATAGGTTGGGGCAAAAGTAGACTTACAGTTCATATGGAAAATAATGCAATAATTAATAAAAATACATGAATACACTTTCACATATGACTGTAAATCTACGTGTGCCTCACCCTGTATTTTTAAAGCCTGCTGCCCTGTTTCTTGCCCTTTGACCTGGGAATGCTTTCTAAGGGGCTGAGTGGCCTTGGAGCTCTCACGCCTGTGGCTTCTCTTCCCTTCCTGGTCAGAGCAAGGCCCATGCAGAGGCCCCAGGGGCGGTTTGGTCGAGTTGCTTATGGAGATGGGCTGTTCCCACTTACCCCACAGAATAGAGACAGTTCTTACTTGCTACACTTCTTCTCAGGTAGTCATTCCATTCAAGGAGAAAACCATTCCTGTCGATTGTACCGTGTAATAGTCTGAATGTCTTACAAGCCCCATTTGAGGCCACTCGGGAAGGTGTGCAAACATTTAAGTTCAGGAGTCAGAGTTGGTGCTGGGCACTGCCCTGGGCTGCTTGCTAGAAGAGCCATCTAAGACTTACAGGTTACATTCAAAACACAGCTCCGAAGGGCTCGCCGCCCTGTTTTGCAGCCAGGCTGCATTTAGGTGACGTGGAATATGGCTGGCATCTCACACCTACTCCAGTGGGTTTGCTTGGTGGTGATTTTAGCATTAAAATTTTGCCTTCCAAGTCTCCATGGCTTTTCCTTCATTTTATGTAAACTGAGGCCATGAGAACCTTCTCCTGTTGTCCAGGCTCTGAACTGCCATTTTCCATCTGAGGGTGTCCATTACTGTGGTGCTGCCCACCGCTTTCCTAGGGCTGGGGGCACCAGGCACGTCTGAGCTGGGCAGCGCTGGGCTGGCCCTGCAGTGGCCCTGTCACAGGAGGAAGTGCTGGGGTGACCGTGGGCTCAGCCTCAGCCAGCTCCTGGGCCGACAGGTGTCTGAGGTGCTCAGCCTTTTCAGTTTCACGGAACTTGGCCTTGAGGAAGACACTTTGGCGGAAGGAGCAGGAATAATAGTATGTTTTTAGGTCTAAATCAGACTTCCTTGGGAAGAAAACAGTTATGTTTTCCTATTGATTCAGGGTTAACTGCCTATGCAATTAAATGTGTGGTCTGCCCCGATCTGAGCATGCGCTGGTTGAGGCGACCTTATATGGCACACTTGTTCAGGTCTGTAGGTGGCCCTGGGATGACCACAAGCCGTGGAAACGGTACTTAGCGGCCAAGCCTTGAGCCTCGAGCCTCAGTAACTGTGTGCAGGCACCTTATTAAGCGTTTGGCAGAATCCCACTTAATTCTCACAACTCCAGGCATAGGTGGTGTTGGATCCAGTTGTCAGGTGGTTGTGAACATGTGTAACACCCAGACCCTCCCCCAACCCTGTCCTGTCCACTCAGGGGTCTTTTCCTGCCATGGAGGCCCAGCAGTGCGAGGATTCTGCAGTTCATTCAACCCAGAAAACCCTGCTCTGCCACGCAGGGAGCCTTCCCTGAATTTTTTTCACTTAAGGAAAATGACCCGAGGGTGAGACAGAAAGGGTATTGGCTGTTGCCAGGCACAGCTCTGCATGTCAGGGGCCAGCAGCCAAGTGAGTGATCCAGGAAGTCATCCAATTGCAAACCAGAAATTGTTCTTAACCCCTCACTCACTGTCTGGTGCACAACAAACTTGCCCAACTGCCCAAATGGGGTCAGAGTGAACCCTGGCTGCTCAGAGCCCTGGGAACTCTCCCCTGTTCTTGGCTGGCTTTGGGTCCCTGTGGGAGCCAGTCCTCCTCCCAGGGCTCCTGGTCCAGGAGGGAAGAGCCCCAAGGGGTGAGACCAGTTCCTTTTGACGAAAGGTGCCTCTTTGGTCCCTCGGAGACTGGCCCTTGGTGTCTGTAGAGCCGGCTGTGCTCTGGGTGTTGCATGCGTCTCCGGGCAGGACCTGCCAGGGGGCACTGTGGCCACCTCGCACACCCTTGTTGACTCGGTCCTCCCGGTGGTGGATGGGTGGTCTGTCCTAGCCAGGTGGGACTGCTCCCCGGACCGTCTCCAGGTTGCTCTCTGATGACAGCTGCTGGGGGACTCTGCCAGGTGAGGGTTAACAGACAATTTGTTTATTGAATCACAAAGTAGCTGTCACATGATTTTAATCAAAACACCATTTCCCTGACAACAGTGATGTCAGTCTTGTTATTGCAGGAAGGAGCAGCTGTGAGGGACATTCAGTCTCCATGCCGAGCCCAGGTTTGGAGACGGAACTCAAGTGAAGCATTCATAAATAATGGGTGCAGGTCCGGTGTCCCAGTCCACCCTCCTCTTCCTCTCCTCTGTCAGGACAGTCTGTCCCACACAGACTGGCAAGAGCCCCGCCCTACACCCGAGTCACATGGCGCTCTCCCTTCTGCGCACCTTGTCCTTTCTACCCATTTCTACTGACTTCCAGTTTTCCTCATTTTCCTCAACTCAGGGAATCTTTGGGGCCCCTGAGACCTCTGGCCTCTGCCTCCTGGCATCTGCCTGTCCTCTGTGCTCTAAACTAGCACTTGCTGAGCCAGGCGGTTCCAGCCAGCCTGAGGTGGGGGCCATTGTGTCGGAAGCAGCTTCGTGGGGGAGGAGGGGCTACTTTCCTCTCTGTGTGTCTCCTGAGAGCAGGTTGGGGGCCAGGTGCCTGAGCATCTCCGGGCAATTCTAAGGAGCCCAGAAAGACTACAGGAGGTGTGAGTCCAAGTGAACTGAGGCCTGATGACAGATCAGAGCCCAGGGAGGTAGCGGTGAGCGGGTCACTGTCAGCTGGAGCAGTGTCCTTGGGCTCCAGCCTCCACTTGGCACCTTTTTCCACTGTGGGGCTGAGAAGGATCCCCGGGCCCGCTAACCCTTCTCCACCCAGGAGCTTGGCCTAAAAGTGGAAGACTCATAAAAAAGGCCTCTTTCTAGGTGGATTCTCATGGTGCCCATGGTTGTTGCTGCCCAGAACTCATCACCCAAAATGAAGAAATCTTGGGCAGAGTTCTTGGTTCTCAACCTGGAGCTGGGACTGACTAGGACAGCTGTTCTTGAGTGAGATTCCACAGGCACCCTAGCCAGTTTCTCTGTCTGGTGTTGGGACACTTAAGAGTTAAATGAAAGCAAGGCCAGTAGGAGTGAGGTGCTGTGACAGCCGTCGGGAGTGGGGCTCCTGGGTGCTTTCTGGTAGAAGGTGTGTGAGGCCAGCTGCATTTGAACCTTAGAGTAAACCTGGGAGTTAAGTGGGCCAGTCTGTTTCCAAGTTGCGGGTGGGGTTAGCGAGCCTTTGCAGTGATTTGCCCAGGTTAGTGGCTGGGCTAGGACAGGTGCCAGGGGCTGAGGACCGTCAGAGGTTCCTCGCTGCCTCTGGCCTGTCCCTGGCAGAGAACGGGTAGCACCACCCTGTCTGGACAGACTTTCTGGCCAGGGTGGCTGCTCTAGGGGGTGGGCTGGGCCCTGCTCCCTCAGGCTGTTCCTGCACAGGCCCTCTGTGCCCCACCCTTTCATTCCTGGGGCCCCTCCACCCCACCTGCCCTTTGGCCCTCACTTTGCTGGCACGGGGACCACAGGGCAGTTCTAGTGGGTCCCAGACTGGACTTGGCCAGGGCTGTGAACTCGGGGTCCTTCACATGCTGGGCTTCTAAGAGGGGCTTGGGGACTCTTCCTCAGTCAGCTGCATCCCACTCCTCAGTTGTGCTGGTGGTCCTGACAGGGTAATGCACTTACTCCTGCGGGTCAGAGTTCTCAGTCAGGCCTCCTTTGGGCATCTCTGGCCCCATCATTCCCTCCTTTCTCTGGGGAATTAGGGAGATTGAGTCAGAAACTCTCAAAGCCTGCCCGGTGGGTAGAGTGACTCACTTCTCCCTTCCGGAGGCATTGGTATCCCCAGTGCCTTTTCTTCTGGGCCCAGATTTTCTGAGGGTTCTGCCCAGCCAGCTCTTGGGGACTCAGCTACAGGGGGAGGCTGCTTCCCATGGTGCTGTGTATTCCCCTCTCTCCCCCCACTGGCGCCTTGATTGGTGGCTCAGCCCTGCACCCACTCTGCCCAGGCTTCAGACTGCCAATTCAGACCTGCTCTGAGTCAGGCATGCCTAGGAAAATCCCCTGGAAATGCAAAGGGAGGTGTCTACTCCAAGGGGGATTTGCAACTACAAGTCCAGGAGTTCAGCTGTGTGTTGGGCTGTGACCTGTAGGCAGGAGTAGGAGTTGAGTGGCTGGACACATTGTAGCAAGCTCCCCACCCTGCCTGGCCTGGCTTTTGGGTCTGGCCTCAGTGATTCACGGTTATAGCTTCACGCCTGGATGGGGGCACATGTGCCGATGATGGTTAGTGTCTGAGGTGAGGGTCCAGCACCTTCACTTAAGACCCACGTCTGTCTCCCAGGGGACATTGCAAAGTATGACATGCACAGTATCCCATCCCTCTAGAGCTGCTCAGCCTGGTCATTTCTGCAAAGTGACATTGTTGGCTGGGGCTGAGCTGAGGACAGAGCACCTATAGCCTGTGCAGGTGATTTATTTTGTAGCCATGTGGCACCCAGGATTCAGTGCACAAAGCCCAGAACTTCCTCCCATGGTGTCCTGGGGCTGCAGGCAGGGCAGGGGCCTCCCTCCCTCACCTGGGTCCCCAAGGAGGGATTGAGTACTCAGCAGGGAGGGGCCCTGCGAGAACCCAGTAACTGAAAAGCAAGAGGGGCTGCAGGTGGAGACACTAATGTTCTAAGTCAGGGGTTGGAAACACCTTGACTTGGGGGGTCTATGAATGGGCCTGAGGGGTGCAGGAACCAACTCCTCCCTGAAAATATCTGTCCAGAGTTGTGTCTATGCACGTTACTTGGGAAAGAGGGGCCAAAGCTTTCATCAGCATGTCAAAGGGATCTGTGAAACCTCAATTTAAGAACTAATGGGGTGCCCTGGCCGGGTAGGTTAGTTGGTTAGAGCATCGTCCCAATACGCCAAGGTTGCGGGTTAGATCCCTCGTCATGGCATGTACAAGGAGCAGCCAATGAATGCAGAAATAAGTGGAATAAATCGATGTTTCTCTCTCCCTGTCTCTAAATACACACACACACACACACCACCTAATGGGGTAGAAAAGAGCAGGTGGCTAACAACAGAAGCTGGGGCCCTGTTACTACTCTACCTGGGCAAGGCCTGACTGGGGTGACAGCAGTGGGCTCTGGGGAGTGGCTCAGCATACACTGTATCTCTTTGGAAGTGTGGGCGCTGTCAGCTCTAGTCCTCCAGCCCAGCCCCCTCCCCCTTCCCCTCCCTGCACTGAGCCTTTGGCTCTTGGAGGCCATGGAACTGAAGGTTCTGGAGAAGGTGGAAGTCAGGGGCCTGACTGGCTGCTGACGTTCTGGCCAGTCTCTGTTGGCAGGTCTGTTGTTTTTGCCTGTACCCTGGGCACTGGGGTTGTTTTTGGCAACACAAAAATGATGGAGAAATTTGGTGGGAAAGGGAAAGTTTGCAAAACATTGTTACTGAAATCAAGCGCTTTCCTTAAAAACAAAAAAGGGAAATTGAAATTCAGGGTTTTTGAGTTCTTGGGTAGCCAAATGGGGGTAACAGCTGTTTGGGCT